GATATTTATCAAAAAAGTGACATTTTATAACGTACATTTTGCAAAAATCGCATGTCATATAAATAAATATCATTTCATTTGAAAAAGAACCGTGCGAAATAAATTAATAACATGATATATATTATAATAGCGTGTCAAACAAAAAAATATCGATTAATATTAAAAAAGAACATGAAATTTTACAAAATCTATTCATTCTCACAACAACCATGACCAAAATATAGAAAATAAGTGATCTTTGACAGATCAGATGTATACAGTGGTAGTGGTAGCCGTGAGGAAGGTGGTTACGGCAGAGGTGATGATGGTTTTGGAAGAAGCGGTGGTGGTGTTCGTCGCGAGTGGTGATGATGGTGTCGTAGTCGCAAATAGTAACAATGATTTTATTGTAGTCATCGTTCTTCCGTCGCGAAAAGGAGAAGAATACGGTGGGTGATGATGATAATGGTAGATAAAATTAGTAACAATGATTTTATTGTGGTCGTCGTTCTTCCGTTGCGAGAAGGAGAAGAATGCGGTGTCGTAGTCATTAATCGTTGGAAGTTCTTCATCAAAGAATTATGTGAGTGTTTGTGTGATTTTTAAAAATAACATGTAACAAATAAATGGGTATAAGAGTAATTGTAATTGAGGAGAGAGTGTGTCTTCTGACATCATGGTTAGTTTCTCAATTCTTTTCAGATCCATGGTTAGACCATCTCCAATGGTTTTCTCTATTTTTACCTCTAAAATAGAGGAACTCTATAATAGAGGTGAGTTTTACTCCAACCCACTCTATTCTCACCTCTAAAATAGAGATCTCTATTTTTTCCTCTATAAAATAGAGAAACTCTATTTTTTCCTCTATAAATAGAGGCAAATATAGCAATCTCTATTTTAGAGGCAAATATAGAGGTGGGTTGGAGCATATTTGCCTCTAAAATAGAGATTGCTATATTTATCTCTATTTATGGAAGCAAATGTAGAGATGGGTTGGAGATGCCCTTAGTTTATGCATATTCTCTATATTATATCACATCTAGAAAAGCGAAAGATAAAAAGGGGCAAAAAAAGTCAACAAAGAACAGCTTCCAACTTTCGTAGTCTTTAAAAAGGCATCAGTGTTTGCGTTTCTATATATCTCTTTAAAGCCTCGTAACTCTCATAAATCCCACCCAACCTTCAAAATAGAACACAAAGACATGGACCGACCACAATCTCCAAAGCAAGCTCTTTTCCCGTGTTGGCAACACTTTTTTCTTATCAGTTTGGTTGTAACACACACAATTTCTCCAATAACCTCGCCTTCGCCGAGCTTCGACCTTAGTCTTTTTTCTCCGCTGGATATGCAACGAACCAAACGATACCGTTTCCATCGCCTTTCGCCACCATGGAAACTCTTCTTCTTCTTGGATTGCTTGGAGACTTAACCCAAGTAGTACTCAGATGGTTGGGACGCAATCGCTTCCAAGCTTATACCTCTTTCATTAGTCGATACGACACGCAGTTCAGAGGGTAGCCTTACCTTCCATGCGAACCCCGCCTCCGCGAGTCTGGTCAATGGGGAGGCTACCATCTTCACAACTCTTGAGTTACCACCGAATTTGATCACGAACAACCAGTCTTGGCAGGTAGGACTTGTTGTTAATGGTGTTCCTTGAGGAATAAAAGGATAGGAGACAATATGAGATCGAGTGGTAGGACTGATCTCCGAACATGTCATATAAAAGACTCCATTGACTACATATCTTTGTTTTCCGCTAATCAAAGAGAGTCGGAAAAAACAAAAGAATTTCTTGGAGTGATCTTTTCGTACGTAGTAGAATATTCTTGAGGGTTTGATCTTCAAGAATCATGCAAATAAAAGAGGAGAAAATCTCTTGCCTTAATATACAGCTTTAGCTATGAATCTTAGAGAAAAATTTAGAGATTGAGCTACGAACTTATTGTATTTGAAACTGGTATTTGTGAGTCCAAAAGCAAAGGCTGTGACAGCTCCAAAAGATAAGAGACACATATGTTGTCTTTTGATGGATGAGACACTGGAAGCAATGAGAGACTTGAAGAAAGCTATATCTTATAAGCTTTGGTGTTTTAAGAACATTGTAGAAAGATATCATGAGTTATTCCAAAGCTCATCCTGCGAATAAAATCAATAAATAGATCAAAAAAACCTAAATGCAATTCATTAATTGCTTTAGAGGCAGTTCATCAAACAGGAGTGGAAGACTAAATTTTTGAATGATTTTCATAATCCTTAATGATCAAAGAAAATAAACGTCTCTTTGTTAACAATATGGTCAAAACCATGACTGTTGAAAAATCATGAACATAGACAATAAGAAGATCAAGTACGTTTCTATCTAATGAACATGTTTAGCTAACGAATCTGAAAGGGTTCAAAAAAAAGAAGCATGTTACCTCTGCAATCTCGCTCGTGATCTCATCTTGAAGAGCCGCTCGTGGATACGACCCATGATTTGTCTCTGAATTTCAATACATATTTAATGTGCTTAGGAAAAAAAAAATATATACGCTAGGTTTATAGCAGAATAAAAGAAAAACAAATAAATAAATTCACGATAAAATAGAAAATATAGTTTGATAAGAGGCTACTTTTTCGCACGATGAAACAAACCCTAATATTTTTAGGAGATTTGATTAATTAAATCGACACACATATAATACAAACAATTATGAAAATCAAAACATGTAATCGATTAAACTATAAACTTCGTTTAGGAAGTTGATCAACAATTGGCAAAGATCTATAAGATCTTACTTTCCAAGAAACCATAACATAAAAAAGGAGAACAAAATATCCACGACGACACTTTATAAAAACCGTATATAAAACCAAACAACTACGAAAACCAAAACATGTAATCGACTAAACTATAAACCTGTTTAAAAAACTCATCAACAATTGGCAAAGATCTATGAGATCTTACTTTCCAGGTGACCATAACATAAAAAGGAGAACAAAATATCGATGACGACGCATCATAGAAATAACCAATTTTGAGGTACAAAAAAGAGCTATAAACCATAATGGCTATGCATAAAAATCAAGCCATGATGTTTGAATTTCTAGGGAAACATCCTATATTTATAGGGATTTCTAACATAAGGTTTTAGGGTTTTACATATAACGGTGTAAATTATACTGGGCTATTTTTTTGGATAGAAAATAAGCCCAATAGTCAGATTAGAGTTTCTATACGACGACCAAACGAATCCGGTAAATTAACATATTTAAACCCCGTTTTTTTTTAATAATTTGGTAATTTAACTAATTTAATCTCGGTGAGGGGCAAAAACAACTGCTCATATTCTGAGAGCAAACGTGAGCACTTTCGACTTCTCCTTTAATATATAAGATTGTATTTTGATTTGTTAATTTTAGTATCTCACCCGTGGTAGTATCCGTTTTAGATAATTGTAGAAATTAAGATAAGATCTTAATGACTCAATTCGGGTCAGAATAAAAAAAACGACATGATTAATGTGCAATTTGTTCTTAAAAAAATGTTAATATAGATTACACACATACTTTTTTTTTCTTCATCAATTGAGTAATATATGTATGTTTTAAAAAATTTGAATCATAACATATGCAGAAAAAACTAAAATTTATTAACTATATATATTTTATAATAATTCAAAATAATATAAATATAAGATCAAATAAAAGTGAAATGAGAATCATATATTTATGTTTAAATTAGGTAGAGAGTTTTTAGGAAATTAGCTCAAATTTGTTATATTAGCATTAAATTATCATATTTGATTTCCTTATCTATAAAAATTGTAAAGAATATACCATAAATAAATAGTTTAGATATAGTAATTAGTTGAGAAAATATATATAATTTAGATTTTATTATGGATTTTCGTTTTTAAATTTTACTATAATTTAAGGAAAGATCCGATTGAAGATTTCCGGGTCAAAATCATAAAAAAACCCGACCCGATTAGAGGAGCAAATTTGTACTTCAAAAATGTTAAGTAGATTGATTGAGTAATATATGTCCGTTTTAAAATTTTTTGAAACATAGCATATGTAGAAAAAAATCTAAAATTTTATTAACTATATATATTTTATAATAATTCAAAAGAATATAAATATAAATCAGATAAAAGTGAAATGAAAATCATATATTTTTGTTTAAATTAGGTAGCAAAGTTTTAGGAAATTAGCTCAAAATTGTTATATTAGCATTAAATCATCATATTTGGTTTCCTTATCTATAAAAATCAGAAAGAATATGCCAAAAATAAACAATTTAGGTGTAGTAATTAGTTGAGAAAATATATATTTTTAGAATTTATTAATTAATTTCGTTTTAAAATTTTGCCAAAAAATAAGGAAAGATCCGATTGAAGATTTCCGGGTCAAAATCACAAAAAACCCGACCCGATTGGAAAGAGCAAATTTGTACTTCAAAAATGTTAAGTAGATATATATATACGGAAAAAAATTGGTCAATTTGGTGTCTTTAGCTAGGCCAGCCAACCCACGAGTTTTGGCCCAAATGCGAGCCACGTGTAAATTATTAGGGATACATATTTCGATTACTTTTTGTATCGGTTTTTTAGTGTAATTTAGTTCGGTTTACTACATATTCAGAGATAAATTCTTTGAAATCAGACCAAATTGTTTATATCAAACCGAAATTGTTACAAAACTAGTTACAGCTACGTGTATATCTAGTTTGGTTTAATCTGGTTTGATATTCAACACATATGAAACCGAACTCATAATTGACTTAATTTAGTTCAATTTTTGGTAGCTTGGTTTAATTCAAAATCGGTTATTTTTTTCCTTCTCGAACTTCTCTAGTAAAAAAATCTCAACTTTTCCCGAAAATCTTGCGTTACACTTTCAAAAAATTAACGGCCATGAAGCAAAATAATCAAAAATGGGCGGCAAATTTTCAAAATTAGAAAAACAACACAGCTCTTAAAATTATTTTCAAAATAATCGTGCTGTCTTCGTTAATCTTGAACCCACTATTATCGACGAGGTCAGGACTGGTACATACCATCAGCTTTTTCATCCTGAACAACTCATGATCAGCAGCAAAGAGGATGCAGCTAACCATTTCGCCCGTGGACATTACACTAGTAAATTCTCTTCTTTTTTTTTTTTTTTTTTTTTTTTTTTTCTCTCTCTCTCTCTCTTCTCTTGTTATTTGATATCCACTCTTGATCTCTCATATATTGGTTGATCTAGTGTTATTTTTGAACCTTATCTCAGTTGGGAAGGAGATTTTTAAATCTTATCTCAGTTGGTGGAGGTACTGGATATGGTCTTGGATCTCTGCTCCTTGAGTGTCTCTCTGTGGACTATGGAAAGAAATCCAAATTGGGTTTCGCTGTGTACCCTTCACCTCAGGTTTCAATATATGTTGTTGAGCCATACAACAGTGTTCTTTCCACCCACTCACTCCTGGAACACACTGATGTCTCCATCCTTCTCGACAATGAAGCCATCTATGACATATGCAGACGTTCCCTCAGCATTGAGAGGCCTACCTACACTAACCTTAACCGTCTTGTCTCTCATATATATATATATCCCACCTTCCCTTGTCATGCTCTTTATATTATCTTTTGTCTTTATGCTGTTCAAATGTCTTTTCTGTTTCTCTAATATTTCAGGTCATCTCTTCCATGACCGCGTCTCTGAGGTTTGATGGTGCTTTGAACGTGGATGTCACTGAGTTCCAGATCAACTTGGTTCCATACCCGAGAATTCACTTCATGCTTTCCTCCTACGCTCCTGTCATCTCTGCTGAGAAAGCCTTCCATGAGCAACTCTCTGTTGCTGAGATTACCAACAGTGCATTTGAGCCTGCTTCTATGATGGCTAAGTGTGACCCTCGTCATGGTGAGTACATGGCTTGTTGTCTGATGTACAGAGGTGATGTTGTCCCTAAGGACGTGAATGCTGCTGTTGGGACCATCAAGACCAAGTGTACCATCCAGTTTGTTGACTGGTGCCCAACTGGGGATTCAAGTGTGGTATCAACTACCAGCCACCAACTGTTGTTCCCGGTGGTGATCTAGCCAAGGTTCAGAGAGCTGTGTGCATGATCTCTAACTCAACAAGTGTTGCTGAAGTCTTCTCTCGCATTGACCACAAGTTTGACCTGATGTATGCTAAGCGTGCTTTTGTGCACTGGTACGTTGGTGAGGGTATGGAGGAAGGAGAGTTCTCTGAAGCTCGAGAGGATCTTGCTGCTTTGGAGAAAGACTACGAGGAGGTTGGTGCTGAGGAAGGTGATGATGAAGATGATGAAGGTGAGGAGTACTAAGTGTTGGGCTTGTTGTCGTGTGGATTGTTAAAGGCTTGAAACTCTCTTGTACCAAGTCTTAAGTTGCCTATCCGTCTGTTTTCTTTTGCCATTCTTGGTGTTTGAACTTTGTGGTATCAATCTATCGTTGCTCTCCTATTCTTTTTACTTTTTTGTCAAATCTTAAGAGCTGTTTTGGAGAACATTCATTTCACACTAATGAATTATGTCTAAGATACATTACTCCATATCAGTGAACAGAGCAAATAAAGAAAATTGTCAAGACTAAAGTTTCGCTCTTTACCTCATCATCAAGCAAAACGTTGAAACCTATTTGCCTTGGTTTCATTCAGTGTTTTCTTTTGTCTTACTCGGTTTTGAACTTTATGTGGCAAAAATCTTAATAGCTGTGTTGGAGAACATTCAATTAAACTATTGATTAAATTTTAAATACACTACATCATAAGTTCATAACAGGAAACACATCAGATAAGAGGTCAAGAAAATTATCAATACCAAAGCTTGGGTCCAATTTTTTTTTTTTGCTTTTCTAAATCTTAAATCAGATGTGATTTGGATCCAAACAAATCCAACCACAAATATTCTCAAAAGTAATTCAAAATGATGTTTGGTATAATAATAAATTAACAAAATTTTCCAATAAGTTGAAACTTTTTATTAAATGGTTAGTCTTCACTTCAGACAATTTTATAAAGTATTAGTTCTGGAATATGAGATTTTAAATCATTTGAACGCAAGTTAAAATCATCCCAAATATTTGATTCAATATGTCCCCTGTAAAAGTGTTTGTTCACTCTCCAGTCCTCTACAAACACAGCATCTGGTAAAATCATTTTTTGACTTGTAACAAAATCCTTGTATTCTACTACTTCACTATGTCAGATAACATAAAAATGAAATAAAATTGGACAAAAGCTACCATAAAAAAATATATATACAATCTAGCATTCTTGATTATAATTAACTTTGTTTTTGATCAAAATAAACATGTAAAAACGTATCACTAAAATTGTGATGTGCATCTTTTTATTTGCAATGCATTATGCATGTATCTCACAGATTTTGATGCAATGTAACAGATGATATAACAATATTACATTAACAATTTTAAATTTCATACCTAATAATATTAATAGAATATAAAGATTGTAAATTGTTTCTAAAATAGTAAGAAATAAAGTCTAATATGCGATAAAATATACTAAAAGTTAAAAATTATTCGGAGAGCACTCAAACTGACGACGGTTGGTATTGAATGTTCAACTATAAATATAAGACAATTTTCGGTCTGTTTCTAAAGATCGATAAAAATGGTGAGGAAAAGCAAAGGTCGACAAAAAATCGAGATCGTGAAAATAAAAAATGAAAATAACCTTCAGGTTACTTTTTCAAAGAGAAGATCTGGCCTTTTCAAAAAAGCTAGTGAACTTTGCACACTTTGTGGTGCAGAAATCGCTATTATTGTATTCTCACCTGGTAAAAAGGTTTATTCTTTTGGTCATCCAAATTTTAATGTTGTAATGGATCGTTTTCTTAACTTTAACCCACCTCGTCCTCATCATCACAACAATATGCAACCTAATGAAGCCCGCCAAAATGCAGCTATTCAAGATCTCAACAATCATCTCACTCTGGTAACTCTACTTCTTCACTTTTTGGTTCTTCATTTGATTCAAATTTTATCATAACAATATAGTATCAAATATCAATTTATTTACCAGGCAATCAAAATTGTTTTTTCTCAAAGTATTATATATATATATATATATCTTATATATTAAAGGAGAAGTCGAAAGTGCTCACGTTCGCTCTCAGAATATGAGCAGTCGTTTTTGCCCTCTCCCCTTTAATGAGATAAAATTAGTTAAATTTCCATTTTGTTAATAAAAAAAAATCGAAATTCTGAAAAAAAGAAACATAACGTTTTCGTTTCTTCGACCCTAATTCGCTTATTGGGCTTATATTTTTACGAAAAAAAAAAGCCCAGTATAATTTACACCGTCATATGTAAAACCCTAAAACCTTATGCTGGAAATTCCTATAAATATATGATGCCTCCATTGAAAATCAAACATCACGGCTGGCTTTTTATGCATAGCAATTATGGTTTATAGTTCTTTTTTGTACCTCAAATTTGGTCCTTTCTATGATGCATCGTCGTTGATTTTTTTCCTCCTTTTTATGTTATGGTCACTTGGAAAGTAAGATCTCAAAGATCTTTGCCAATTTGTGATGAGTTGTTTACGCGAGGTTTATAGCTTAGTCGATTACATGTTTTGATTTTCGTAGCTGTTTGGTTTTATATGCATGATAATTCTCATGATTTTAATTATCACTTCTTTCTTTTCTCTGGTACAAGCATAAACTTTTTGGATCGTGGAATTGCAAACGAAGCTCAAACCAAACTGAGGTATCTCCCTAATCTTGCTTGATTTATGCGTTTTTTTACCAAAAACAAAATTAATTTGATTGCTCTACTATTGCGTGATCATATAGTTACGATCATCAATCGATCGACCGTGCGACCTTATTTTCTTTGGTACGATCTGTATTCTTTTACGTGTTGTTTTTTTATAATGCATTGTTTTATTGTTTCGAATATATTTCTGTGATACGTAAACTTTAAATCTGTTCAGCATGATGTGTTCTATATTATGGAGCCTCTGAAGATTATTCATCGGCCGCGACGTGGTCGGGATAGTATGAGAGAGAGGGCACGAGTCGTTATGGACTGGAAGACGTATTTCCGGACTTATAATTATCATTATCGTGTGATCGATATCTCGATGTATTTTTAGATTTTGGTTATGATATCTTTATTGATTATACTAAATTCGTATTAATGAATTAAATATTTTCCGTATTAATGAATGAAATACTTTTGATTATTTTGATCTTATCGTCTTGGTCGAATATCACACATGATATTAGTCTAAGATAATCGGTAATATCTTGAGAATAATATTCGCTGACGACAGTACTTATATTCTGATTTTAATACTTTTAACTGAAAATAATCGCTATTGAGAATATTAATACTCCGAATATGTATACGATGATTTATACCTAATCGGCTACATGACACTTTGTATCGGTATATCATGTGAACTTGAGCGGATTTGGAACTATCTTATTCGTTTAGCGATACCCAATTTACCTGTTTTTGGAGGAATAAAACACAATTAATCTTTAAACGTATGCTGCTAATAATGATGAAATATCGCATCAGTGTATTTTATATGTTATTAATAATTTGTGATACATATATCAAGTTGAAATACATATATATCAATAACAACTATAACAAATATATCTCATTTTCTTTTTGATATGATCTTTGGGGTTGATTTGATATGATCTTAACAAATAAACAATATTATTGTACGTATTATTTGAGGTTATCCTATACAATATTATTATACAAATTATTATTATTGGAGATTATCCTATATAATATTATTATCAAACAAAATTATTAAGATAACAACTACTTATTATGTTTTACTACCAAATCTTTCGAGATTGTTAATATTGATATATACAAATATTGGAAACTATTAAACAATTTTATACAACAAAATTATTAAGATAACAACTACTTATAATGTTTTACTACCAAATCTTTCGAGATTGTAGTTAATATTGATATATACAAATATTGGATACTATTAAACAGTTGTCTATTTTTATGTTTTGCTGATTATAGAAATTTTCGTAATATTATATATGTCTATATAGTAGCTCATAAGAAGTTAGATGTTTCCATTTTTTTTTATAGTTAAAATGAATATGTGAATATATGAATGTTGACATTTTAGCAGAATAATTTGTGGTTACCATTTACGGTTTTCCTCTTTATGTAATTATATGGAGTATTATGTTAGTTTTTTTTAAAAAAGTATTTAAATGTTATATTAAATATTCTCAGTATTTTATTTGGTAACTACGAATATTGGAGATAAATATGAATATAATGTTTTTGTAATATTTACCAATTTTTTGTGATTGTGTGTGTATCACGATGATTTTAAAATGTTATTTTTCTATAACTATATGACTTTAGTTGAGCCTATCCGTATATCTATATATATAGATACATATCTACCATACACGACCGTGGTTAGCGACTAGACATAAGCGATTTTGGTTCCCAGTGTAAGAATCTTTATTCAATAATGACTACAACTTCATTACGATATCCTTGCTTTCCGTAACGATTTAGCCCTTTTTGATCTTTCTCATTAATTAATTTTGCGAGGTTATCTTTCTGATCTTTCTCTTTATATGTCGTGTTTTATTAACAAACCATTAACAAACCATTAACAAACCAATTAACAAACCAAACCAATTATCCGGTAAAGTTTAATATTCGGTTTGATGATCTATTTGTGTATATTCTTTTTTCCTTCGGCTCACCGAAAACGACTGTCATAATAATAATAATAATGTAAAGAAGATATTATCATATCCGTATAGTTTTCCATACGTATATTGGTTACAGCAACAGAAAAGGAACAAATCTATATAAAAATATTGTTAGTTAAGATTTTTTAATATAATGTTAGATTTCTTCATTCGGACGATCGAATATAACCTTAATTCTACGTATATAAGTGCTATTATATCTCCTACCTTAGTATCTATTAACCTATTAGACTAGGTGCTCTCTATCTCTGTTACTTATAATGCCCCAACTCGCTCCTTGCACCATCACTATGTTTGAAGAAGGGTTGGATGTTTGTGATGATCTTAAAGATCTAAACCCGGACATGATTACCAAAAAAAATAAAGTGAAAATTGTTAGAAGGTTCGTATGCCCTGCGTTACGCGATAGGCTGGTGGAATTTATCCTTGCAGATTCAAAGGTAACAATTATTAATTATCATTAGTTTGTTATGCTAGAAGGATTCAACATAATATTTAAATCTTAAACAGCATAAAAGATACACGCCCTGATTGATGTTGACGTGGCTCACCGGTTCTCATCCATCCTCATAGAAGGAAATTGCATACTCTTATCAGAGTTTAATGTTAGAACTGTAGGAGGATGTTTTAGACCAGCTAGGCACAATTTTTTCATACGTTCGAATGCTTTTACTTCAGTTACTTTACTAAGGTCTTTATTACAAAGTGATTGTTTCACTTTAGTCAAGTTTCATGACGTCAAGGAAGGTCGCCTAGATCCTAATTATTGTGTGGGTAAGTGATATGTTATAT